ATGGATTCCCCAGGTGCAGAAACACCCCTCTTAAAATCTCCTCCAACAGGAGAAGGAGGAGATGACACAAAGCTCAGCCACAGCTGAAGGTGATGGTCCTTCACCTGAGGCTGGCTGTGATCCCCAACAATCCTGGCTGCGACAGGCAGGGCAGCCCCTCATGGCTTGGGTCACTCAAAGCCCGAAGACACACCAGCTGCACGGAAGAAGCACAAGAGATTCCCACTTTTTCTACTGAAAAAAAAGAATTCAGGGGCCTTTTGAGAAGAGGGTATTGATTAACTCTTGGGCTTTTACTCCATTCTCTCCAGGACATAGGGTTGTTCTTCTCTCTGCCATCCACTCCTGTTCTTGGCCCCAGACAAGGAGAACCAAAAGAGCCATGAGTTACCAGCCAGCATCTCTGCACACCCAAGGATTTGCTTTTGCTAAGCTACTCAGCCTGATCTGACTTTTGAATCCAACAAGATGTTGGATCAACGTGATTTCAATGGTGCAAACTTTTTAAGACTTCCTCAAAAATCCTTTCCTGATTCTTAGGAAAACTGTTCCCTTCCTCAAGTGACACAAAACCATTTCAGTACTGTTAACCAGAAGACCAAGAAGCAGGTACAACCCCACTTGTCCTATTGCAATTCCATATATTTCAACTCCACATATTCCCTGTAAAGCCTATCTGAACATGCAATGTTCTTTATCATTCCTACAAGGCTGGGGCAAGCCACTGTCCATGTATTTCCATGCACTTCCAGGCCAAAGATTTTGGCCAGCTGGACCCTACATCCCAAACAGGAGGCCAAGGGACTTGGAGGAATCTTGGACAACACAAAGTCAGCTTGTAATGTTTAAAAAATAGGGGGTTTAGGAACTTTTTGAAAAACAAGGGGCCAAACTCAGAGCCCACCTGCCCAAGGAGATCACATCCCACACAGCTTGTGCTGTGTTAGCAGAGTGGCACTGGGCTGGGAGAGGTTTGAGGAGAGGACTTGAGAAATGTGGGCTCTGTTGTGCCCCACATTCCACAGTATCTTTCTTCTTGCAGTAGAGGTTGTGTCACCACCCAGAAAAACTCAGTCCTTCCCTAGATGTGGTTGCCCTTGGAAGGTCAAACTAAGCAGCCTTTGGTGCCTTTGGACATGGTATGAAAACACCTGCCTGCGCTGCTCTCCTTCCATGATCCCAGCAAGCAGAGGTGGCAGTCACAGCTCCTGGCTCTAAGCCAACAGAGAGGACACAGCCCGCAGGATTCCTGCCGGGAGAGGTGGGGAGTGATACCTCTACAGCTCTGATCACAAGCTCTTTGCAGGAAGGGCCCCAGCACCTCCTGTAGGCTTTTACAGCACTGTGTGCAACCAAACCCTCCAGCAGATGTGGCTCTGATGTTGACTGCTGTGATGGAAAATGTGCCCAGTTTTTTTAATGACATCTAATTCACTCTTCATGCCTTTCTAATGCAACAAATGAAGCATGCATCTATGAAAAATCATAGCTTCCCAAACGACCTGGCTTGGAAGGGACCTTGAAGACCATTCAGGTCCAGAAGCAGGGACATCTTCCACTAGGCCAGGTTACTCAGAGCCTCATCCAACCTGGCCTTGAACACTCTGAAGGATAAGGCACCCACAAAAATGGAAAAAAAAATGGTTGAGGAACATAAAAACATAGCACACTGCACAAGGAGAGAGCTGTGGGTCACTCCCTTGGGGTAGCTTCTTCTGAAGGGAGCCAAAGGTGTGTGGCAGAGACCTCAGGGTAGGTGAGCTGTGCTCCTCCACACCACAGGGACAGCATTTCCCGAGGAAAGGTGACGGGAAGGAAGCAGGGACAGGCGCTATTTATAGCAGGGCTGAACACCAGGGCTGTTCTGCATGTGAAACAAAAGGTGCTGCACCAGCCCAACGCTGTCCCCATCTCAATGTCACTGCCACGGAGGCCAGAGAAGCCCACACACGCTCTGGGAGGGAATTAATGCCATTTGCAAGACCAGCTGGGACAAAAAGGACAGATTTCTGGGTACCAATCTGCTTTATTGGCTTTTTTTGTAATAGCTGTGTTATATAAGGCTCCAACAAACCCAAAGGTCACCTACAACCAGGCAAGGCCAGCTGGGCCTGTGCATGGAGCAGAGGTCACACTGGGGGCTGACCCAAGCTGGATGGCCACTTGTGAGGGTGACTCCTGGAGGAGGATGCCCAGCATGGCCACCAGGGATTTGTCAGCCTTGGATGAGGCAGGAAGAACCCCTGCACCCCATTCAGGCATCACCTGTGGGGCCCAGGGTGCTGCTCCAGGACCCACCAGCTCCAGGAGAAGAGGAAAGGCTGCCCCATGAAAACCAGACCCAGTGAGCCCCGGACTTTGGGGCCACACCTGCTTCTCACCAACCTAGCAGGACAACCTCCTGTCTTCTTGCAAATCCACTGCAGCCCCACTTCCATCTTTGGCTGCTGCCAATTCCTCTCTAGGAAAGCAGACCTTCCTCCCTTGGGTCCAGGCATCCAGAGCTGCTTCCCAGCCCCTTCCCATCCCATGCATCACCACATGGCCCTGCTAGGCTTCCTCTAAGCCTCACTGCCTCTGATGTCCCATCCATACTCTTGCAAATTTTGACTCTCTCCATATCCAGATGAGGTTTTAAACAAAAATCCCACTACTCCTGACTGAGGTTTTATGTTTTGCCTAACATAAAACCTCACCCTGAGGAATTTTTATATCACTTGTGTGGCTCCACCAGCTCTGGAATGGAGCTTTTCTGCCTCAGAGTCATGCCTGGGACATTAAGGTAATAGCACTGCAATAAAGTGTAAACAGCTTTGTAGTCTGTGTTCTGATAAAATCTGTTTTTTTCCTATTCCCTTTCCCTCCCCCCTATTCCTTCCCTTCTCTTCCCCTACTTCTGCCATGTTTTCCGCATAAAATAAACATTCTGAGACCTAACTCACTGCTAGAAATCAATTTTAAGGAGCAAGTGCTCTCTTGGAGCAATTCAAGTGACACAAAAAGGACTAAACCTCCCCTCCTAGTCCCAAATGCACCACAGAGACAAGGGGACGCTGAAAACCTCCAGTGGCAAAACAAGTGGCATGAGGAGGGAGAGGTGAAGGAAGGGGATGGGAACCATGCCTTTTCCTTTTAAAGAATTACTTTAAAAACTGCTTTTTCACTCCAGCTCCCTGTACTCAGGTCTCTCAGCTTTTAGAAATTGAAATAAATGTGGTTTTCTGGCTAAGATTTGATAGCACTGTGGAGGACTTGGGCAGAAGTGCATACCCTCTGCTCTTTCCATTTTATTTCATTTGTGACTGCTTAGGGCTGAAATGACCCCATGTCTCCTCGGGAATGATGCTGAATCAATTGGATTTTAAGGCTTTTTTCTCTTCCCCTAGGATATTATCCCAGTGCTATTGGCCAGGGCTGTATCTGACCCTGTGATCTTCCAACCCCAGCCCAAGGCACTTTCTTTTGCTATCTCTCCTTGCCATCTGTGCAGGAGACAGGGATGCCCTGGAGGACTGAATGCTTCTGTCTGCTGATGGTTTATCTGAAGGGACCAGACAGAAAAAAGGAACAGAAATGCACATCTGTCTGTTCCCTCCCATCTTTCCAACTGGCAAGATTTTTGGATGAGAGGGAAGAACCAACACAGCTCCATGGTTCATCACAGCCTTGGGCATGGGGCTTCAGGCAGAAGACCTTTTGGCCCTGAGGGTCTCTCACAAAGCATCAAGCACTGTTTGTATGTCAGAAGAAGGCCAGAGATGGGAAGAGAACCCCCTAAACTCCACTGTGGTTCCTCAGAGGAGCCCAGCCCAGTGCCTCAGTTAAGCCCACCTAGCTCAGTCCAGCAACACAGCAGACTTGGTTGTAACCATGTTTTGGAGATCACAGGGCTGCAACCCAGCTGAAATACAACCTTTTCCCCACCACCTCAAATAACAAGATTAGGTTGGCTTTTTGAATTGTGTACAGCTAAAAAGGAGGGAGTCCCCAGAAGGAGAGGAAACAGAGTTAGCTGCTGACAAACCATTCTGCCTACAAAAGGATGTTTATAGGTTGCCTGAGAAAACTCTTTTTAGCTCCTTTTTTGGTCCTTCAGTCAAGTTTAGGAAAATCAAACCACGCAGAGTTAATTACATCCTAACTTCTCATGAGACAAGAAGTGATGGTGAGATTTGAGGACACACTCCAAGGTGTCTGCAGGACCTCACCAAAAACGCCCCCTGTGAAAACTCAGGCACAGACGACAGTTCATTCCAGGGGAAAGCACTGGACACTTTTTCTCCTGTTTCAATCATTTTTCAAAGTCGTGGTTTTACAATTGCTTTATTGCCCTGGGTGAGTTGTCTCAGCTGGAGCAGAACAAGTCAGCAGAAATAAAGCTGAATGTACAACTAACTCCCTTATTCCTCACTTCTTTTCACATTTAACCATAGTCACGATTCCCATCAAGGACTTTAGATTCCCTCATATAATTGAATATGCATTTTACACAATTAAATATCCAATTGACTCGATTAAATTAACTCAATGGACTGAAATCACCAATGCCACAGGAATTTGGCTGCCTGCACAGCACATCCCCTCCCTCCCACGGACACCTGAGGCTGGCTGTGACCCCCTCTGAACCAAACCATACCCACTTTCCAGGCAGCCCTGAAACTCAGCAAATTTTCATTTTTAATAGAAAAAGAGGAAGCAAATCCCAAGGACTCGAGCTTTTACAGACAAGAGTTTGCCAGCTGTCTCTCTGAGTACAAGTGGGGGGATCTGGCTATGCAGGAATAAATTCAAGGGGAAGAGAAGGTGCTTAAGGCACTCCTGGATCAATGCAGGACTCATCCCAAAATATTTTCAGGATGTAAGTGCTGAAATAAGAGTTTATGCATTGACACTGCTGAACAGCAGCACTGTCCAAAGACTCACCACAAGGTGGTTGAGGAAGATGTGCAACAAAGAAAAGATTTTAAAAAAACTCCAAACACTGAAGAGGTTTCACCTACCTCCGGTCGTTTCTCCTCCTTCTGAACAGTTTTTTGGTGTGTGCGATTTCAGCTTCATGAGGCAACGGATGGTAACCCTGTAAAATGGAGGGAAAAGCAGCCATGAGCCCCAGGAGGCACCAGCATGGAAGGGCTGAGAGTGAGACAGGGCTGGATACCCAGCATGTGAGCCTGGTAAAAGAAACAGCTCCCCCAAACATCCCTACAACATCCCAGACCCCACAAAAGCAGGTCTGAAAATCCACAGATGTGCTGCACCTCTCAGGGCTGTGGCAAGGAGCAGGGAATGAGGTTATCTGCAATTTCTGTACAGAAGAAACCACAGAGGGCAAATGGTTGGATCACATCTGTGTAGATCCCAAACACACGATGGATAAGGAATTCACCCACTTCTCACATGACACACTAAGCCACCCAATTTCCCTGGGCTGCTGAAAAAACCAAAACCCAGCTGAAAAAATTTCTGTAAAGGAAGATGCTCAGCATCATTTTGAGGCTACCTGGGGAAACCAGTAGGAGCCACAGCTGGTAGGTCTGCTGGGCTGTGCCCTCACCCCAGTAGGAAGGGAACAACCACATCAAAAGCCTCACTGAGGCTGCCCACCATGAATGAGTCAGCCTGTGCCACCCCTGCAGCAGGGACAGGTGAGACCCACCTTGCAGGAAACAGCTGAGGTGACAAGGATGGCAAATCATGAGCCCAACCCCAAGATGAAGGAGGGCAGATTTAGATGAGACTAGAAGCAGAAATTTTTTACTAGTAATTAGTAATTAGGGAGAAAGTCTTTAATGTGAGGGTGCTGAGGCCCTGGCCCAGGGTGCCCAGAGCAGCTGTGGCTGCCCCTGGATCCCTGCAAGTGTCCAAAACCAGGCTGGATGGGACTTGGAGCCACCTGGGCTATCAGAAGATGTCCCTGCCCATGGCAGGGGGGTTGGAATGAGATGACCTTAAATTCCCTTCCAACCCAAAGCAATCTAGGATTCTGTGATTCCAAGACAAGGCAGTGGCAGAGCTGTGTGTTACCCCAGCTCTGCCTTCCCAGTGCCCTCTTTCCACTGAAGGTGCCGACTCTGACGTGGTCTGTTCATCTGATAAGGGGGCTGCTCTATTTACTATCCTACTATGGGCATGATGAGGCTTTGTTAATGCTCACACAGAGCTCTGAAGTTCCTGGATGAAAGGCCCTACGTAAGTACAAAGTGTTATTTATTTTCCAGGGACCACAGAGCTGTCATAACTATAATGAATTTTATTTATGCAGTATTGTCCTTCCCCAGCTGGCAATAAAAGCCCTGTAAAAGTTGCTCCTTTTATTTCCATCACCATCTATCTCAGCCTGGAGCTCCAGCCACTGCTGGGAATCACCACGTGCAAGGGGCCAGGAGGGAGCAGCCTGGGCAAGGGCTGGGTGGGGATGTGCCTCATCCAGCAGCAGCTTTGTGACATTGGCATGACAACATAACACACTGACTACAGAAAAAAGTCCCTCTCTCTTTGTGTGAAGAGCCTTTGGAAATGACAGCTTATTTCAGTAGCAGCTAGTGAGATAATAGTATTTTGAGTTTCTCCAGGGGAAGATGTAATGGAGGAGAAAGGTTCCTGGGGATGATGAATTTAGGCCAGAGAAGGCACCATCAAGTTGAGGACAGACAGGGTTTATTGTGACCATCCGTCCTGAGCACTGCAAAAAAGCCTGGAGGAGCTGCTGCTGCAGCAACCCCACAGCTCCCACGGCAGCTGGAGCCTTCCCATTCAGAGAGCTCCACTCCTCCAGGCTTCAAGCCATAAGGAACTCACTGAGCCAAAACATAAAGCTGTTAGAAAAGGTCCAAAGGAGAGCTACAATGATGGTGAGGGGTCTGGAGGGGCCACATGAAAAAGTGTCTGAGGGCACTGTGCTTGTTCAGCCTCAAGAGGAGACTGAGGCCAGACCTCACTGGGGTCTGCAGCCCCTCCCGAGGCACAGCTCTGCTCTCTGCTCTCTGTGACAGGGACAGCACCCATGGAAATGGCTGGAGCTGTGCCAGGGAGGGTTAATTTGGATATCAAGGGAAGGCTCTTCCCCAGAGGGTGCTGGCACTGCTCAGGCTCCCCAGGGATGGGCACAGCCCCGAGGCTGCCAGAGCTCCAGGAGCCTTTGGACAGCGCTGCCAGGGATGCCCAGGGTGGGATTGCTGGGGGTCTGTGCACGGCTGGAGCTGGAATGGGTGATCCTGGTGGGTGGCTTCCAACTCAGAATATCCTAGAATTCCATGATTCTGTAGTAGCTTAGAATCACAGCAAAGATTCTGTAGTAGCACAGAATCCCAGAACAGTTCAGGTTGGAAAGAACCTTAAAGATCATCCAGTTAAACCCACCTGCCATCGGCAGGGACCTTTCACCAGACCAGGGTGCTCATTCTGAAACTGCTTCACTGCTGAGGGCTGCGATTTGAGTGCTCCTCATCACTCACTTTCACCATCCTTTATTTTCACTGAAGGCATAGGAGGAGCTTGATATCTCTGAGATCTCTGTTCCTTTGAAAAAATTACTTGAAATTGGCCAACATATACCAAACTGAATGAGGAAAGGAGGAGACACACAGAGTCCAACCCCACCAGCACAGCTAGTTTAGGAAATGAGGCTAAAAATAGTACAATAATTAGCGAGGCTGTTTCTAAATGTTGTACTACCACAGCAGGCTAACACTTGGGTGTTTTTAAGAATCTAAGCTGCATTGCAGACACATGTGCAAATACAATTACCTCGGAAAAATGAAACTATCTCCACTCCACACAAGGACCAATTTCCTCTAGTGAAGACCTCATTAAAGCTTCAGGAGCTGCCTTTCTGCTCTTTCCAACTAGAAACCACACATACAGTGGTGCATTCCTGCATGTCCTCCTTGAAGAGAAGCCCTGTGCTTCCACAGACCTCTACCCACCAGCAGCTGACGTCAACGGGATGAGAAATGAATTAATTACATGGGAAGAAGTTCCTAATCCAAGGAGCACTCCTGGAGACTGACTGTGCTATATAATAAAGGAGAACTTCGTGTCCCCATCTACGAAAATCAAACACCTCCTTTCTCCAGCTGAGCAGCTCCCTTCCTCAGTCCTCGTCGTGAGACAATGTTTTGGAAAAAAACAGTCACTGATCCCTACTCTTGTCTATTTTGGTGCCTAAACAAAGCTAAATTTGGAAGGGAGAAAAGTTGACTCTTTTTTTTTTTAATTTTTTTTTTTCTTTTTGGTGCGGCGAGCTGATGCAAAAGGAAATATCAGCAAATTACAAGTAGGGCGGAGCGGCTGGAGAAGACCAAAGGTGATGAGTGGGTGGGGATAGAATCCCAAGGGCATGGTGAGAGCTTTGATATTGATAACACAGCCCTTGTCTCGAGGCTGCTGCCCACCATGGGTCATGCAGCACAGCCTTGGAAGTGCCTTGAGCAGAGCCAGCTCACTGAGGACAAGGTGAATCTGAAAAGCAGCTCTTCCATCTTTCAGCAGACACACTCTTTCTCAAGTCAAAATCCCTGAACAGAGCCAAAGGAAAACGTCTCTCAAGGCAAAAGACCACCCTCTGCCCTGCAGTGGGTCTACAAGAGGAATGGTTTTTCTCCTGCTTTGGCCAGAAACACCATGCTCAGATGGTCATGGTTTTCATAAGCAGGTTTGCAACTTCTCAGTGGGCAGCAAAATCACATTTGGTCTCCTTTCCACAAGGATTTTATCTTGATATTTATTCACAGCTGGCTGGAGAAGGTAACAAACCAGTATTTCAGTGCTGCTGATTCTGAAAGCAATGGGTGTGGGAAAAGCAAAGCACAAGGAGCCCATGGTCACTGAAAGAATTGCTAATAGGGCTAATTTTCAGTTTTGGAGCTAAACACTCTGTGGTTTGCATGGTGGGGAGCTTGGAGCAGAACCTGAGACGCCCAGGGGACTTCTAATGCACACATGCTCCAATTTAAATCATAAACATACATGCTCTAACAAGAAGAGCCAAAAGCTCTGGAAAAGAAGGGCTGTTCAGGAATGGTCTGCCCTCTGGGCCAGTCCCCAGGAGATCAGCTGTGATGTGTGTGACGTGCATACACGTTTTTAGGTTTTTTGAGGAAAACAACTCTTGGAGGAGGTGATGTCCAGCAAGCTCAGGTGACTGTGGTATGGCCAGATAGGGAAATCTGTCATCTACTGGAATTGCTGCAAACAGAGGACACAGGCAGCAGGTTTGAAGGCCAGTGGTCTCTTTTTGTGCTTTCCCTTCCTAATGAAGGTATCTGTCCAACCTTCATCCCTGTTCACCTGCCTGTGGGAATACCAGAAGCTGCTCCGCAGGCACATTCACATCAAAGCTCAAAGAAAGAACAAATAAAATGCTTTCAAGACCTCACTGACATTCTTCAACAACCCAAGAGCCCCACTGATACCTGCCCCTCTCCAGCAACATCCCTGTGCTGATCCCAGCCCATCCCACACTCCAGCCCAGTAACCTGTGGGATACAGGCTTGGGAGAGGCATGGGGAAGAGGGGCAGGAACAGAGCAGGGAAATTGTTGGATGTAGTGTTACCCTCCTACAACAATGACTTTGCTATGATTATTCTTATGTCTCCTCTGCAGCAGGATCATCTGAACAAGCTGGAGGAGAGCACCATCTCTGCCTTATTTACTGGGGATGGTAAATTAGTAAAAGCTTAGAATGCTTTGGGCTGAAAGGGACCTTAAAGACCACCTAGTTCCACCCATCTGCAAGGAATGGGGCAGTCACAACTTCTATGGGAAGTTCTTCTTCTATGGGAAACCTGGGCCAGGGCCTGCCCACCCTCCCAGCCAGCAATTCCTCATTCCCAATGGGCCAAAATCTGTCCCTGCCCTCTGGCCCTGGGAGCCATTGCCTGGCTGCTGTCCCTGCCTGCCTTGTCCCCATGGGCTGTGCAGCTCTCCTGGAGCCCCTGCAGGCCCTGGCAGGGGCTCTCAGGTGTCCCTGGAGCTTCTCTGGTGCAGCTGAGCAGCCCCAGCTGTGCCAGGCTGGCTCCAGAGCAGAGGGGCTCCAGCCCTGGCAGCAGCTCCGTGGCCTCCTCTGCACTGGCTGC